CATGTCTCTATCTGTTTTCATGAGAAGCCACTTTGAAGATATCAATATGTAATACAACAAGCATTGTTAATTTCCTACCACTTTGTAACTCTGTATTGTCTGTACTGTTCTTTTGCTGTTTTGTAAAAGGTTGTCTGTCTGTTAATGTTTTCCTCCTTTTATTTTTAAAATAAAAAAAAAAGATATACAGCAATGTATATTGCAGAGACATTTTGTTACAACTACAGTGAGTAGAGGTCAGGGAAACTGCTAACCACCTCCATAATAGAGTTTCCATTATAAATAGTTATCTAGCTCAAAATATCACCAGTGTAGAGACTTGAAAAATCTGTGCTAGGCTGAAATTAGAATGCAGTATTAAAGGTAGAAGAGGTAGTGCTATGGAGTAGAAATGACAGAGAAAAAAGTGAAGGATCTTGCTTGGGTTGGTGATGGTAATATGACCTAAATTGAAGAGTTTGATAAACTTAATGAGTTACAACAGAAAATAGAACAAAATAAACTGATCAGAATACTAATAATAACAGAAAAAAAAAAGAAAACTGAAATCCAGAAATACTCATAATTATCATTTCTTGGGAACCTGAATTTACTCTGGAATAATTCAGTTTTCTCTGATAATGATGCTCCCCCTCACGTTTCTTCTAAAAATGGAACTGAGGAAATGTTCAGAGACAATAGTCAGGTGCTACATACACAATCAGTGTGTAACTCAGGAACACTCTTTTTCCTTGGAGTCAGCTACAGAGCATATCTCTCTCCCAGTTTATCACCACCATTCTTCTTGGGGGGGGGGTAAATAAATTAGTGCTTATGCATGGTTCCTGAAACTGAGATTTTTACTTTTCACCGCACATGAGGTCCTACAGTGGGCTGAATCACAAATCGCATCCTTGATCTTCAAGAAGTAGGGTTGTGCTAATAGATACACATATTTTATGACACGACAGTAACTAGGAAATCTTATTAAAACTAGTGCTGAATGACAATAATGATCAAGACATCTGGTGTAGATATGCTCCGGGCTGGCTCTGTGTGAACTTTTTCTCAGCAAGAATAAAAGGTCATTAGTATTTAAAAACAACCATCACAACTTACAATATATGGTCGGTGTAATGATGCCACTTTCCATTTCGCTGACAGGGTTCTTCACGAGGCAACTGTAATTCCCGATGTCTTCCTTGGTCACTGGAGCAATACGAAGGGTGTTGTTTTGGGGTGAAAAGGAATAGGTGGAACTGGTTCGAACCGGCTTCCCATTCTTTAGCCACTGGTAAACTAGCCTGGTGCCCCCTTCAACACGGCATGTGAGGGTCATGTTTCCCACATACTCCACAGCCCCAGAGGAAGGATGATGCTGCACCACTGGCTTTGTGACAGGGTCTGCAATATCAAGTGACAGAAATAGTTTTTTGTACCCAAGGAATTATAGTAAAACTCCATAAAGTCTTTCAAATATTAGATCCTGGGAGAAATAATGCTAATATTTTATACTTTGAAAAATAACTGCTCAGGCAATAATTGGAATAAGATACCATGTAAAATGCAAAATAATAGAATATAAAAATATTATTCATAGAGTGAACAAGTTCTAGAACTTTCTGTTCATGGATTGTCTAATGAAACCCTTCAGTTTGTAGGTGATGTGTTCAGTGGTTGAGAACCTTAGCTTTTTTACTTCCTGTTTGTTGTGTTTTCTCCAATCCCATAAAGATGTATACTCATAGGCAAACTTTATACAATTATTCACCTTTCTATGAATTAAGCTAGTCCTAATGTACCAGAGCAACTGGATGGAGTGAATGTGAGAACACAAATTTCCATCTGACATCTTCAAAATATTCTGCTCATGTATGGTATACTATTGGCGAACTAAAGGGGTGTTTTAGAGATTCACACATAGGCAATTTTATGCAAGATAACTTATTATATGGTTTACTTATTTTGCATTTCTGTTGCAAGATTATGTTAGTTGTTTTAACAAACCAAGGTCTACATTTCAACCCTGACTCAGTAGGATACTCAGATAAAATACATTATTGGATTTACATCATATGAGAGGTATAAAGACAATTATAATAGAAATTCTTGTTGAAAAGTCAAGTCATAGAAAACTTATTTTATACCATACTACCAATATGACACACAGTAAAAACTGAATACTGTATTTGTCAAATAAATAAATTTCCAAGAACAAATAAATATTTCCTTTCTGAATTTTAACTCTGAAATTTATGAAGAAGGGTAGAAATTACACATGCACTGATAACCATTTCATCAATGTTCCTCAATCTTTGAGTTTCTTGGCTCTTTATTTGATTAAAAATAGTGACTATTCCAGAGTTACCTAGAATTCAGTGCCAAAAGGGTCAGCATTCAGTAGCTTTGAGTGTGGCAATGTTTCTTTCTTGCATATTGGATGGAGATGTATTTAGTAATTTCCTTCACAGAGAAAATAAGATGACACCTAAGGGACTAATAATTGGATCCATACTTAAAATTTCATATCAAGCTTTTAGTTGAGGTAGATGCATTCTTCTCAGGCATATTTAACTTGAATCATGCTTCCATTGTCCTATAATGGAAAAGTGTGCACCAGGACACAACACTAACAGACTAAACTCTCCAGCTCAGAGGAGAAAGAAAGAAATGAAAAACAAGGAGAAAAAAGCTTGAAAGCAGCTTGTAGGCCAGCTGAGTAGTTGTAAAACCTCCAGCATTTTTCAGTGTGGGTATAATTAACCCATTTTGTTCAATCCTTTGTCTTTCCTGGCAAAGACAAAGGATTTGGAATACCATTTATTTACATTATTAATACTTAAAAGGCAAAATGAATGGTGTTCATTTATTATTTATAAAACATTTATGTTTCAAGTGCATCATTGTGTGGAAACATATGTAGTATAGGAAAAATAAGTGACATGCTAATGGTCTTGAATGAGGAGAAGCAATTATTAGAATAGTTATTGGCTTGCGATCATGTGTTGGCCAACAATGGTATAACTCAGCTGTGGAAGTTTCCCTTTGGAGAAGAATGTTTTTCTCAGACCTAAAAGCATTTGAAGGCTTTACTAGATTTTTGGTTTCACTTTGTTAAAAAAAGCTCCAACTTCCCTACACAATAACACATAAGGGATGTTCTATTAAAAGTACAGAGGGAGACAGAATACCATACAGGAAACCCTCATCTGCTTCCACATCCTGGGTCTCAGCTTCCCTTCAGCACTCCCTCTGTCCTCTACCATGATTAACATACAAATAGTTACTGAGGACACAAGGAGCAGTGAGGTTTTAGTCACCAAGGACAAAGCAGCCAACATCACAAAGTCCCCTCGCCTATGGACCTTGTATTTTACTTAGGGAAGAGAAGCAATAGATAATTAAAAATATGCAATATGCCCAGGTGGTAATAAATGCTACAAAAAAATAGTGAAGCAGAACTGAAGATAGTGCCTTTGTGACTTTATGGTGTGTGTGTTTGAGGAAGTGAGGGCATAGCTTGTACAGTGTAGTTAGGAAAGACTTCATAGATAATGCAATATTTCAGCTGAAACATTAAAGGAAATGAGAGAAATATCAGGAAGAAAATCCATCAAGGTAGATTAAATAGCAAGTACAAAGGTCCTGAGATGTGACTGTGTTTTCCAGTTTCAAGGAAGAGCAAGACTAGCATGGCCAGAACAGAGTGAGGGAAGGGAGCAGAGGTAAGAGCAGGATGAAGTAGGTGCTGGATATTCAGACAGGTGCTGGGAGGAGTTTAAGGTGCAGGAGCAGAAGCAGAGAGACCAGATGGCAGGCTGTTTTATAACCCAGACCACAGCCGGTGATGTCACCTGGGACAGGACAAGGGCTGGTGAGGAGTGAGTGGATTCTGTCTATATTTTGAATGTAAAGCCAATAAATTTTCTTGTGACTAGGATGTGGGATGTAAGAAAAAGAGTCAAGGACTGTAAGATTTTGGCATGAGCAACTGATAAAATAGTATTAATATTTACTACAATGAGAAATACTGTCAAATGAACAGTCTAGAGAGAAAAATCAGAAGTTGGACTTTGGGCATAGCATATTTAAGGCATAAAAGACACATCTTACTAAGAAAAACAAATATCTGAAAGTTAGCTGACCTCATTTTTTAGCAGACATTTCCAGAAACTTTTTATTGCTGTTATGCATGATAATTTGAGATAATTCTCCCCCAAATGGTGTTGGACACTGTACATATCCCTTATGTGCATGTCTAATTTAATTCTCAGAAAGCCTTAAGAAATAGATAATAATGTTATTAGTGTAATGTTATTACAATAGTGTTATTATACTACTATTACACAATAGTGTAATACATTACAGTATATATTATACATAGTGTAATAATGCTATTACGATAGTGTTTTTAGTGTAATGAGGCTTTGAGGATTAATTAGCTCATTCAAAGTTGCATAGCCAGAACCTGAAGCCCACCGGCATTGATGTCGTGGGCTTCTGCTCACTCCATACTAGCTTCTATATATAGTTAGAGTAGACTCACCATCGACAGTGACTTGTATCTTCTGACTTGAGGATAGGGTTCCATTTCCTTGAATGTTGACCTTCACAATGTAATTACCTTCATCATCAAACTGCAGTGGATTAATGAGCAAAGATGCATTGGGCGGCCTCATGGTGAACTTATGCTGGTATTCCAAGTCCGGAACTACAGACTTATTCACAGAGCCCAATAAGTATTTGGGCATCGTGTGGGGTCTCTCAAACAGCCATATGATCTGGATGTCTGACGCCAAAGTATGGAAGCCATAGTGCACAGGGAGGTAGAGGGCCTGACCTCTGATGCCGTGGACAGTGTGTGATGGCACTGTCACCTTCAGTCCAGAACAAGAACCTGCTACAAAGGAAAGGAAAGCTGTGAAGATTCTGGGCCACATTTCATAATCCAAAGAGGCAACTGCAGAGAGAACTTGATCTGAAGATAATCCTTTCCAGAGAAGAGAGCCTTCTAAGTACTGACCATTCCTGTACTGGTTACAGGTAGAAGTAAATATTTGCCTGTGAAACCTGCTGCATTTTAAAAACTCCACCCAAAGACTATGCAGATTGCATGACTTCCCTAAATGCGAGATGAAAAGGAAAAGCAGAAGTTGTTGACTGTGACTGTTCAAGGATAATGGGAGAAGGAACACAGAAAAGGATGATGAGTTCTAAAGTCCAATGAAAACAATTAAAACATTTATAATTATGACTAAATGTCTGCGTCAAATTCTATCCTAATAAAACTACGCAGTCTCAGATACTGGTGGGTTACTTCCTTCCCAAAACAATTTCCCAAAGCCTTCTGAAATGGCTTAATATTCAGCTTTTTGGAAGTCTTTCCTTTTAACCAAAGCCTTGCTTGATATAAATAACTCAAGGAGAGTGGCATTAAACTATGATCGGCATGTCAAGGAGTTCTGGCCCAGAAGAAGAAGGGGACATGTTTGAGGATCAGCGAAGGGGAGTCACAGATGAGCAGATTGGAGAAGGAGGAGCACAATAAGCTATGAGGTCAGTAAGGTGGCCAGGAGAGAGAGGGTGAGACCACAGAGCCGGGGGAAAGACTGGCAGTTTTAGTTTGAGCTGAAAATGCAATTGGAGTTTGGGCCGCAGAGGGGGATATGATTTCTCTTATGTTTTGTTAGACTCACTTTAGTTGCTGTGCAAGGCTTTGTGGGTAAAAGCAGAAACAGAGACACTACTTAGGAGACAACTGCAATAAAACAGATAAGAGGTGATGTTGTGGTGGGTGGACCAGGCTGGTAGTTAGCGATATTATGGGAAGAGATTGGCCATGCTAAAAAGGGTTGCTGACACAATGGAGGTGGGATACAAGATACAACAAAGAGTCAAGAATGACTTATGTGCTCTTGACTGAGGTGAACTAGAAGAATGGAGTTGTCACTAGTACACTCACCATGGGTGAGAGAACTGGTTTTTATGGGGAAGATTAGGAGGGAGGTTGGAGCATGTTCATTTTGAGACGCCCGTTAGGAAGCCAAGAAGAAATGAGTGTACAAGCTGAAGAGGAATGTTTAAATAAAGTAGTTGGGAATGTGTTAGAGACCCAAACAGCCTCAGGTCATGGAGCAGTGCTTACTACACAGCTCTGTGCAGTGCCAGATTGTTTAGGTCCAAGAATTCACTGCTGTGTTTCATGTCTGCAGGTTTCTCTACAGTTTTTGGTACCTTGGAAATAGCCCTGTCTTACATTAAACTATGATATGTTGTTTAGTGTTATTTAGTATTTACTTAGTATTTGCAGTGAAAAGAGAGTCTTCCTCAGCTCAGACCACCATGGTTCTGGAACTCCAAGTGCTTTGCTTCCAAACTTTCATTTTAAAAGTGGGAGAATATGGTCTGTCCATCATAGGAACGTTTGAAATTTGGGGGGCAGAGAATGGGCAGAATTTAAATGTGGAGTATTTTGAACTGTGAGAGAGAAAAAAGAGAAGGGAATGGACAGTGGAGACAGTGAGAGTAGATACTCTGGAGGAGTTTTGCTGTGGAAGGGAGCAGAAATGTGGGGTGGAGCTGGGCAGGTTTGCCCAATGTTTAGCTCTTAGGAAAGAACCACTAGAGAGGAAATGTTGAAGGAATAGAGATGCGTGAGGGTAGAAGAAAATCCTGGAGGAGACGAGGCCAGAAATGAGGTACAAATGGAGAAATTTTACAGTTTCAGTGTTCTCATGTACAAAGTCCTTGTTCTCTTGACTGCTTTCCCTTTTCATCAGTTTTTAAGAAGGGAGACTCAGCTTCATTGGTCATGATATGGAAGACCATCCATATAAAGAAGGGAAAAGGAGAAAATTCTCTGTCTTTCAGGAAATTTTTTTTGGAGAAGCTCAAACACGTAGGCCTGCCCCTAGGAAGAATCAAATTCAACGAACTTTAAATTTCTCTTTTTCCTTTTCTAGGCAAAGGTGGGAGCAAAGATTTCCACTGTTTTGGCCTGTAGTAAGCTGTAAGTAGAGAGAGAAACTCTGGGGCTGCCGGCGAAGTTAGACCTAGGAGTTCTGGAGCAGAAACACAAAGTGGAAGAAAAGAGGAGATTAGAAAGAAAACAGAGCCCTAGACACTCACCTGAAAGCAACTAGAAGGATGGAAATGTACGAGTGCAGGGAAACAGACTTTGTCTTACAGGCTGTTTGGTCTCTGTGTGTACTTGTGATTAACATAACTTTTTTTCTGATAATGGACTGTACTTGTGCTTTCACTTTAGTGATCATTTCATATCACAGGCATTACAAAGGATTTTGCTTCTCCATTCTGTTCTGAAAAGCTCAAGAATGTTAAATTGGGGTTTACCCCCTTTAATATGAGTGATTAGAAAAAGAGAGAACAATGTGCTGGGAAATCTGTAGAGAAGATAAAGTGAATTTCAGAAAGGGGTAGTGGTTTTCACAGGGAAATGATGAGAAAGGAAGATGGTAGAGCAAATCAGTGGCTTAAAACTAGTGGTGTCAATTGGGTGTGATGGCACACACCTGTAAATCCCAGCAGTTTGGGAGGCTGAATCAGGAGGATCCCAAGTTTGAGCTCAGCCTGGGCAGCTTTGTGACTTAGCAAGACCCTGTCTCAAAAAATGGGGTGGGGCTGGGGATGCAAGTCTGTTGGAAGGCCCTTTGTTCAATCTCCAGTACTGAAAAACAAACAAACAGTCAGTGATATATAAAGTGAAGCAGAGGCTGGGTTGGCGTGGGGTGCAGCTCTTGAAGTCATAGACGGGAGAAAGGAAACGATTCCTCCTAGTGTGTGTGTGAGTGTGTGTGTACATGTGTGTATGTGTATGTATATGTGTATGTGTCTTCTGCACAAAACAAAAGCATTTGCATACTTTTCACTTAAACTGGAGATAAGAAACTCCTGAGAAGTTCCTGACAAGCAATAAATAAAAGCTGGTTTTTAAATATTCAACATTACTAGTTTAAGATACATAAACTATAACTTTCTCTACATAGTGTATTGTTGTATTCTTTTTTCTTTGAGTGAAAATTAAGGTAGTTATGAGAATCTCATGGCTGAGTTCTGATCTTGGATTCCTCCTCCTCCATAAACTAGTTAATATTAAACTTGTCACATGTAAGTTGTAAATACCCTGAAATAAGGGTATTTAGGAACCCATTCTCTAAATTTGCAGTGAGATTACTAGATTGGATATTTGGGTAAAGTTAAAGAGCTACTGAAATGTGAAGTCTCGGTAAAAGCCACACATTCAGGAAAAAAAAAAATCAGTTAGTCATGTGACCTTAGATCAGTCATTTTACGTCTCAACCTATTTTTGCATTTGTGAAAAGAGGTCAGTAGTCCATGCAGTCTAAGACCTTTCTCAAAGCTCTAAATGTTTACGTCATGACCCCCCCGCGGTGACCTTCCTAGGGCAGCAGCTACTTACATTTGAAGGTGAAGATGTCAAAGAATGTTGAAGTATCGAGTCTCAGTCTCTAGAACACTTATTAAGTTGTCAGTCCTGGATATTATTAATAAAGTGCTGGGAATCCACACTAATGCTTTGAGAATGCACAGGGAAAAGCCGAGTGGCTGCTGACATAGAATTAGGTAGTTGCTTCTGGCAGGGAGCAGGTTTGCATCCACTTCTTGGTCCTTTAAGATATTTCACAGCTCAACCTAGAAACTACAGCTAGACTGAGATATCCAAGTAGATAGCCTGGATTCAGTTTTGGCTGATCTCTTCTTGTCATTTGTTACAGAAGGGTTTTTGTTTTGTTTTGTTTTGTTTCTTCGGGGAGCTTTGCATTGTTTTGTTTTTTAAGGGAAGAAACCCTTTTAGTCTACCTTCTTTGTAATTGCAGTTTGAAACAATTGACCAGGCTTTAGTTAATATTCGGGAAATGGGTGGGAGGCACTGCACTACTTCAGATTGACTGTGGAATGGAAACGTTGTTGACTTTTGGATCTTGATTCAGAACTAGTTTTAAGTATGAAAAGACTAGTTAGGGTGTCTACAAGTAAAGCTATGAGGAGAATTTTATTGAATAAATATTAAATACAATACAAATATTGCAGCCCAGAGGAAAATAAGACTACTTCAGTAGGAAATGACACTCTTTATGGCATTTATGACCATTGTTTAAGTGGGGATGTAGATCTTTGGTTTAGTTTAGAGACTATGTCATGTAACAATACCTTAAATAATATATTGCCATTGACATCTCTAAATATATTCAGTGTTTCGATATCAAACGATAAAAGTTTTTAAAATGTGTATGTGACAGTAACAACACAATTCTTACACTCTCTACACTATTTTTATGAAATAAATTATAGGTAACAAGTTATAAAAATGCAGCAAGGAATCAGTTTTTCTTTAAACAGTATCTTATTTCTTTTTTTTGTGTGTGTGTTTTTTTTTTTTTTTTTGGTTTTTCTCCGGTACCGGGAACCGAACTCACGACCTTGCACTTGCCAGGCAGGCGCTTTGCCGCTGAGCTAAATTCCCAGCCCCAACAGTATCTTATTTCAGTGACCTAAAATCTATGCATTTTTTCTGGGAAGATGTGAACTTATTCATATGATACAATCTTTATAGTAAAATTTAGGGTCTAAACAGATAATTGGATGATTTTCTATATTTTCATAACGCATACTACTGTTGCTACTTATACGTTTCCCACTATAGATGTGAAAAATTCATGCTGCCAAACATGTTAGTTTACTAATTTTAGATAAGTTGGCATTTTGAGAAATTTTCAAGTGCTCTTTTCTAGTTTTGCAAGAAAACCCAAAGAACTAAAGCTAGTGATTTTAGAAAGCCATCTACTGTATGAACAATTACATTTCAAGAAAGCAAATAATATAAAAATTAATGAACTTTCCTTTGGTACTCCAAATATTTGAATTTAAACAGATTAAATTTTTGTTAGATTCATTGATACTTTCTGAGTATAAAAAGCAAGACAAACTAAGGCAGTAACACTCGTCTAAAGAGACTGATAATTCCATTCATAATCTGTGATATAAAATTATAGCACTCATTTGTCTTTTTGATTCTTTTAAACTACATAGTAACAGTATCTATCTAGAGACCATGCTCATGGGTGGAATGGGTTGGACCTGCATATGTAGACATCGTACTGTCTCCCTAGTGTAAGAACCTGAAAGAGTACATAAAATCCAAAAGGTACAATAGATATTTGAAAGGGAAAGAAACTGCTCAAAAGGAAAGAACAACTGGAATAAGGGAAAGGAAAAAAGAAAGAAAGAAGGAAAGGAAAAAAATATATATACACACAGGAGAGCTAACATAATTGTACTAATTTCTATTGGTTTATTGAAAGGAACAGTTAATGTTTAACTTTTTTGACCAATTTTACATGCTTATATCTGATAATCTGCACAACAACTTTGAAGACAACAATATGCAATATAACAACCATTGTTGAGTTTTTATCATCTTATTTTTTGAAATTCTGTATCATTTCTAATGTTTTTGAAGTTATTTTTTATTCTCTTTAAGAACAAAAAGTATACAATATTAAAGAATATTTGAAGTTATACTGTAGAGTGTACCTATGTTTTAGCAACAAAGAACTTTCTAGACCAGTTTTGTTGTATTGAATTTAATCATTAGGTTTCACAAAGTGACCTCTGTTGTAGCTTAAAATAGATGACATTTATTTCTTCATTACCATGCACGGTATTAATAAGCATAAAAAATACTGTTGGCTGAAAATAAAGCCTTGACTCTTTGTGGAAAATAGAAATTATGACATTGTGCTTTGAATAGACTGTACAAGCCATATATTTTGGCTTCGGATTTTTAGATATTTTTACAAAGGATATACAAACTAAAATTCAATATCCCTAAAAGCAAAAATATTTCCACATTACTTATGATCTTTAAAACACACTACCTATGGTGAAAAGTAAAAGTGCATAGAAAGACAGTCTTGAGATATAAAGATGGATTTCACTATTTATGGATTTGTGATTTCTCTAAAGTATATCTTCATCTTTATTTAGGTCAAATTTCTCAACTCAATTTTCTGTAAGTTCTACCAAAGGCCGTTTTCAAAAACATAAATTATAAAATGAGAAGTTTGATTGTTTTAAAGTAAAAAATAAGATACTTTCAAGATACAAGATACTTTCAAAGCTAAGAAAAAATACCAAAGTATGATGATAATTAAATTTTTCAAAAATTTTGAACAATGAAAATCTATCATAGGCTTAAATTTGATAGCAAACACTGTAATAACTGAAACAATCACAGCTATGGGAAACTCAAACACTTTAAAAATTTAAAGATCGTACATTTCATAGGTGAGAGATGTACAATTGATGCAAATAAACCTGAATAAAATGTTTTTATAGCGATAACTGTAACAAAATATATTAGTGAAAGTAAGGCTTTACATAAATGAGAAAGCCAAAAAATTGAAATTGTGCACGTAGTTTGATTTGTTCTTTAATTTAAGGAATAAATCCTATTTTGAATTTCCATCTGTTGAATATAAACAAAACAAAATCTAACTTGACTTTTTAAATCTACAAATAGAAAGAACAGAAAAGAGAATATCTGGTGAATACAATGTGGGTGAATTAAAACAGTGGAAAGGTGAAAGAAGGATTCTTTTAAAGGATTTAAGGATTCCTTTATCTAAGGAGAAAGAGAAGAACAAAAATTAAGATACAAAAGAAATTAGTAGGACTAGACATTGGGCAAAGAAAAGCTAAAGACATTAGGGAAATAATCCTTTTTAACTTACCTCTTTTGTCAGCTTAAGACTACCGTTTTCCATAGTTTACAGTGTAGTAGGTAATTTCAAATAAAGCAGAATCAACAGTTTACAACAATAGCTTTTAAACTGTACCTTTAATTAAAGAAATATATTTAATTAAAAGAAAACCACTCCTTTAAATTGTTGAGTTTCATTTTAAGCATTAACAATTCAAAGGCCTATTTGAATTTGCCAAAATAAATGCATTGACGCTATGGAACCTGTATGTAAACTGTGTTTAAGAAAAAGATCCATTCTATTTTTCTAGTGACTTAACTTTCTTAGCGAGTGCTGGTGACAATAACTATTGTTCCAAGAAAACAGTAGCCATCTACTTACTGAACCCGGTTCCTTCTAAATGTTGCCCATTTGTTGCTGGAGCATTGTGTTATTGTTTAAAGATTCTCACCTGCTCTTCAATTTTCTGAGAAAATCTATGCCTTACAGCAAATATTTACCTTATGCCCACAACTAAAAACAAAACACCTGAAGTACAATTCATTCAGGGCCTTACCTAAGAGGAGGAGGTATATTTTGCACTGGAAGATCCCAGCAGTGCTGCTGTGGAGCTCCATGAAAGCATCCTGCCCCATGCAAACAGTGTCCTATTCTCAGCGGTGAGTTGTTTCATGGACCAGCATCTGCTGGTTTATTTGCTAGGGAAATTAGCAGTGAGGTAACAGACCCTATCCTGCCTCTTGCCTCTGTGATTTGAATACAGAATGATGTGTATACAAAGGACACAGGGAGTGGGCACACCTGTTATGTGCTTTGTAAGAATACAGGCCTACGACTTTCCGTGTGGTTTCTTAGTGATTATCAGTAACTGTCAGTATGTTTTATAAATTATTCTTTGTTATTAGTAATCACAAGAGGCAAAACATCCCTCTGGATGACTTTCTTGGAAAATAGTGTGCTTTCACAATAAACAAAAAAAAAAATTCCTCTTGTACAAAACTATGCTATTATTGTGAAACTTAAGACATTTTTCTATGAAAATTGAAATAGCTCATGTATCTACTAAGCAGTTATTAATCCTCATGATGTCACCAATTAACATGTGACAGTTGCACCAAAGATGCCAAAAACAAAACCAGAGTGTCTTAAAATGCAGTTTTTTCTATGTTGTATTCCTTATTACAAATGACCGCTATGGTTTTGTTGAAATCTTACAGATTCATCTTATTTTTAGGCAGATCACAGGTGTGTTTCCAAGTGGTGCTGAAGATCATATTGTGCATAATGATAACAAAAAAGCCTGTGCCAATAGATAATATCTGAGGCCGAATTTCACAGCTGAAAGTGAGAAGAAGCAAACCAATGACGCAGAAAAGATTTTGCCTGCACTGTGGCGTCCTGGCACGGTGTTCTCACCTGGGCATCGTCGTGGTAGCAGGTAGCCTGAACACTTCTGCTTAATTTACCAAGTTATAAGTTAACTTCCATTTGCAAGAAGGCTCCCATCCTATTAAACTGAAAGAATATTACCAAACCCACATCAAATCAAATAAAATTCCTTGCATAAGTCAATTTGAACAGCAAGGGCTCACTGAAGTTCATGATGAGAGGGGAAGGCAGAGCATTGCTCCAGTAAAATTAAAAGTTAAAAGGAATGATAGTTATTCTGGAATCCAACTTATGCAGGAAGACTTCCACAGCAAACAAAGTGGCTACTGAGGAATTTGAGTCCTTTTTGGAAGCCATTTTATTTTATTTTTTATTTTTTTATTTTTTGGTTTTTCTCCGGTACTGGGAACCGAACTCACGACCTTGCCCTTGCCAGGCAGGCGCTTTTGCCGCTGAGCTAAATCCCCAGCCCCTGGAAGCCATTTTATGATCTCTCCACACTTCAGAAACACGGCAAGAGCTCCCTTGGCCACAGGTAATGACTGTACCACTACATTCTCTGCTGTATCTCTCGATCTTGTACCTAGATCTCGTCATAGCACTTATTGCTCAATCTCAATTTATTTGACTACATGTTTATTTTACCTCCCAGTTCCTCAAATACAGAGAAAAACCGAATTTATGGATCCTTAGGTCTAACTGTAGTGCTTCACTAGCATTTTTGTCAAGATGTTTATCCTAAAACAAACCTCAAATGCTCTTTGGCCTATGCCTTCTGCTTCTCAGGTGATAGTTAAGAAATGCGCATAACTTTAAAAGTTGAGTTGCATAACATGAAATTTGGATTTTAATATGGAAATTGCTCTGGTGTCACAGTTCTTCCAACACCATAGAGGTCACTATTGATCTCCAATTTCTGTTATCAGAGAACTCCTTTCTATTGTTTTTTTTTTTTTTTGGTTTTTCTCCGGTACCGGGAACCAAACTCACGACGTTGCACTTGCCAGGCAGGTGCTTTTGCCGCTGAGCTAAATCCCCAGCCCCCGCTTTCTACTGTTTTCCAACTAAGTGATGGCTCATGGTGAAATTTTTTAAGTCCTTGGCAAAGTGAGAAAAGTACAACGTTGTGCATTTTCCCTAATGTTAAATGTACTTGATTTAAAAGACTTTTTTAGTATGATTTTTACTATTTCCCTGGTTGCATAAATTCTTTCATGACACAAAGTGATAGTTGATGTTGTATAGATATATGCAATAGCAGGATAAATTACACTTGTGATCTTTTCCTGTCATGACATACATTAAAATTCCCAACGCCTGTGGGACATATCTTAAAGAAGTGCTACATGCTGTAAGCGCGGCAAATCTCCCTCTAGTGGTAGGTTTGCACAAGTAAATCCTTATCTGCAGGAATAATTTCTGAATTCAGGATGTTTACACAGGAAGTTATATAAGCAAGGTTCAAAATTTAACTTCAAGTGTTTTTACACGATTCTTAAAATATTTGGAAGTGTTACCATTATAAGAAATTTACCACCAATATCTTGCATCGCACTTGGAACCCACTGGGGAAGCTCTGCTCTATCATACCGTTCAGGATAAAAGGGCTTACAGCCTTACCGTTTACTTATCTTAGTTATATTTGCCTTTAAAATGAGGTGACTGATTAACCTGAAACAATCTACATCCATGGCGACCAAAGTGCAAACAGTGCAAGGAGTCACTGGGATAGTGTTTGTGTTTGCACTTGTATATGAAAATATACAGTCTTATGCAGGTGTATGTGTGTGTGTGTGTGTGTATGTGTGTTGGGAGGGCAGGGCTTTTTGTTAACTTTCAGGTCACATTAACATAGTTTACAGTCCAGTTTAAACTGTAAGGTTAGTCTTGCTTTATACAGCTACAGGAAATTTCAAACACTCATAGTCTTCAATTCACATTCGTGGAGTATTTTGAAGTGGTAAACAGTGGAAAGGGAGGTTGTGAAATGTCAAAGTCGAAGTGGGAGTCTATGAAAGAACTAGGGGAAATGGTGTTTTCTTCTTGTAATTACATAGACCATAGAGAGGATTACAGCATAGAGAAGGCTGGCTACTTGAGGAGGCTAGCATGCAGGCCTGTGTATGTGCCAGTGCTCCTGTCTGCATGTGATGCTGCCTGCCACAATCCTAGCTCTATCTTCCGTGGCTGCTAGTTGAAATGCAGTAGTATCTTTCCATCTGGGCACCTGACCGTGTCACTGCTTTGCCTTTAGCTTCTGTTCTATTTACTCAGGAAGCACAGTCAGACTGCCCCAGAGTAGCCAACTTCTCCATCATGCTGGTCTTTACAGCATGACAAGAATATTTTGGTGTTTTCCTGATCATGCCAAGATTGCAGTTCGTATTTGAACTTTTGAAGGCTCCTCCTTTTTATGCTACTAAACTGCTAATGCCATTACCTAGAACCAAATCATCTCCCTTAACTGTGAGCTATAATGTTCCAATCTTCAAAAACAGGTCTGGCTATCCTTTTCAAGGGACAATTATCTAGGATGATTTTCTTCAGGCTTGATTGCAGGCCATCCAAACTTTGTACTAGGCTTCTCTGCCCTACCACTGATAAGAGTAAATCACATCTATTGCAAAATGGGAATGAAATAATATACTCCACTAAAAAGTGTTATATAGGGCATTTTTATATAACAATAGGGTATGTTGACATAGTTTACTTAGACAACATCCAGAATTTACTTCCCATGTTTAGATTATCTTACTTGCAGCTTTTGGGTTGTCCAATTCTCTAGATCACAAGAAGTAAACTAAAATGTAGAGCATTACAGTAAAAGTTTTACAGCATTCCAGAATCAAACAGCTATGAGAATAACTAATTTTTCTAAATTTGGCCAATAAGATAAAACAAATACATTGGATTAAAACAAAAGAAACCCCTTTTTTTCATTACTCTGTGTAGTTGAGTATATGAGGGAGAAAATTCTGGGGCTGAATCTAGGTGCTAGTTCAATCAAGCTGTAGTGAAATGTGTGGATTATACACCCCGTATAGATAAATATTCTCACTGCTAAAAATGGATTTGAAGTGCTGGGATCCTTATAAGAGTCACCAAAGGTCTGAAACCAACAATTCCAAAGCAAATAGTAACAGTAGCATACTCTTTAAGTGAATCTGAATAGTCAGGTTGGAGAACTCTTGAAATTAGATTACCTCTAAGGTGTGATTTTCAACTGAACTTGAGATCACAACTATATCTTACTAAAGTGCTTAATACAGTATAGTGTTCCCTTGTGCCTCCAAATTAACAAATGTTTATTGAATCAGGTTTTATTTTATATGCTAATATGGTTGGCAGCTTCTGTTTCTTCTGATGCTTTCAGGATCTTCTAATGTTGAACATTTTCACACACCAAAAACAGTCTAACAATTTAGATCAGAAATCTAGGCAACTACTTTGAAGATAACAATAAGCAATGTACTAACGATTGTTACTCTCCTTTTATACTGTTTTGAAATTTTGTATCATTATTTTTAGTTTTTTTCTCTTTAAAAAGATTAGATCAGATAAAGAATGAACTAGAGTTGCCCTAAAGTGATTGGAATTTTTTGGGTACTGGTGGTGGTGGTGCTGGAGATTGAACCTAAAGGCACTCTGCCACTGAGATACATTCCCATCTTTTAAATTTTATTTTATTTAGAAACAGGGTCTTCTTAAGTCACCCAGGTGGGAGTTGAACTTGAGATCGCTTTTATCTCCATTTCTCAAATGTTGGGGACCAGTTCTTTTTTGGGGGGGTACTTAGGCTGGAACCCAGGGATGCTCTACCACTGAGGTACATCCTCAATCATTTATTTATTTATAATTTTGAGATAGGGTCTTGCTAAGTTAAACTGCCCAGGAGAGGATGGAATTTGTGATCCTCCTGCTTCAGTCTCCCATATTCTGGGATTACAGGTATGTGTCAACGTGCCTTGCTGGAATTTTTAAAAGAGGTTAGAAATAACAGAATAATGGATGTATGTAGGTAAATGCTTTATTTCAAAAAGAATTACCAAGTGCAGTGATAGTGACAGTAGTATGTTTAAGGTGGTTCTGTTGGAGTAGAGAACTGGGCAGAATTATGACTCATATAATGGCACAGCCCTTTACAATTTATAAATTGTATTCACTTTCATTGTCTCATTTATCCTTACAAAACCCTGTCAAATATTACAACTTCTTTTGTAAAAATTAATAAAAAATCTTTGAGAGATCAAAT